TACAAGAAAATAGTGAGAATATATATGGATTAAATAAATATTGAAAATGAATAGCGGATAAAATGAATTGAGAAGATATTACTATTAATTTTTTTTAAAAATACTATTGTCTCTATTACAAAGTAGTATTTGCTCAGTAATCACCTAAAGAGTAAATAGACCACCTCCGGGATTCGGTCATGTGATCTTCCTTCAAAAAGAGACACAAAGGCAAATTATTCTGTGGACCCTAGTTCACCTTGCAAGGTGGACTTGGGTCCAAATATACATAATTTATATATTGTATGTTCACATTTTACCTATTGAATGTTCAAAAAATTTATATACTAAATGTTCACAATTTACATACTAAATATTCACAATTTACATACTGAAATGTTTACAAATTTATATACTCAATGTTCACAATTTACATACTGAATCACAATTTAAATTATGAATATGTAAATTGTGAATCTTCAGTAACCTTGAGGGCAGACGAGATAGGCACTCGCCCTGGGCCCACCGCTGGGAGGGGCTCCTAACTTAATTTTTTTTAATTTTTTGATGAACTTAAAAAAATGCTTTCATATAAGGGTGCAAACAAACCGACCAGGCTCGAGCTCGAGCTTGTTAATGGAAGCTCTGCTTGAGCTCGAGCTCGATCTTGAGCTTTTTAGTTGTTATTTTTATATATTACTACGTATAATATAATTATATTATATTATATACATTATATATTATACAGATCGCAAGCGGCTCGACGAGCCACGAGCCTAGAATATTCAGGCCCGGCTTGAGCTCGATTATTAAACGAGTCGCTCGAGTTTGGCTCAAGCTCGATTTTGACCGAGTTAAGCCGAGCTTCGACCGAGTGATTCGGCTCATTTACACCCCTACTTTCATATGCAAAGATTTGAATTCATGACTTCAAAATTATTTATTAGTTTTAAATCTACTTAACAATTACAACCATATGATATACTTATCTATTTATAATTACACTTCATATAGGGACCCAAAGTTTGAATGGATACTACTCTAATGCTATTCTAAATTGTTTTTTTTTTAATAAAAAAAATTATATGTTTACAAAAATTCAAAACTATCATTTAACTATTTTCAATTAACACGCATAAAATCATTTAACTTCATATATTAAAGGGTCTTTATTTTTATTTTGCCCCGGACTTATAAAATGATTGGAGCAGTCCTGCTCGGGTCCATAGCATAACTATTGAACCATAAAAATGTCAATTGAGCACACGGTGCTTGGCACTTGAATTGTGAAATCAAACATTCATCTTTGTAATTATTATTAAAACATAAATTTTGTTTATATATATATATATATATATATATATATTATATTACGTACAATGTATGTAGTGAATTAAATTATAATGATTTTTTTTGAAAAAAATTATAATGATTATTAGTATCCCAATTTCGATGCATATGTAATGGTGGGCAATCAAGAGCTCACTACTGCCATTGTAGAATATAAAAATGTAAATGTAGTTACAGATGTGGATATGAAATTAGGTATTAGTAAATATGAAAAAAAAAAAAAAGAAAATAGACATATTCATTTATGGAAAATAATGAATTGAAGTTTGTTCAATTAAAACAAATTGGCATGAAATATTCTTTGTCATATACCTATTTCTATCTTTCATTGCAAAACAAGAGCAAACATGCAATATAATATGCTATTAAAGAAAATTATCAAAGATTCAAAGAATTTTTACACCTTTAAATACGTCATTGATTCATTGTAAGACTGAGATAACTAACTTTACTTGTATTTTCACCATTTTCTTTACCTTTGTATTACACTGGTCTATTGGTATAGAAGGATTGATTTGAAATTAATCAATCATGAATGTGTTGAATGCAACAGAGCGATATTTTGTTCTAACAATAATTGAACATATATAGTTCTCGAGAGTAATCATATTGAAAAAATATTGTTAATCCATTCGTTGAACATTCACTAAATGTTCCTACAAATTAAATATTTAATAACAAATTGTTCATAAATATAAATATTTTCAATATATATATGTGTGTGTTAAGGTGCGTGGGGTTGTGCTTAATGTAAGTTGTTAAAACTTAAGGTGCGTGAATTTTGTGCTTAAGGTGCGTGGGGTTGTGCTTAATGTGAGTTGTTAAAACTTAAGGTGCGTGAATTTTGTGCTTAAGGTGCGTGGATTTTGTGCTTAAAGTGCGTGGGTTTTGTGCTTAAGGTGCGTGAGTTTTGTATTTAAGGTGCGTGGGTTTGTGCTTAACGTGAGTAGTTGTTGAAACTTAAAGGTGCGTGTGTTTTGTGCTTAAGGTGCGTGGGGTTTGTGCTTAAGGTGCGTGAGTTTTGTGTTAGGAACATTGTATTAGGATTTTGATGATACCAATGTAATGTAGAAAAGTAAACCCCTAACCATTAGTTTTTTTAATCACTGCTTTCGTCCTAGACGAAAGTTGCCATAACTCCTCTGTAATTCGTGTTAAGCTAGACAAACACACGAAAATGAGTTATGACTAGATGTTAGGGTCTCCAAGGCGAAAGAAGACATGAGACATGAAGAACAACAACAAGAATCAAGCAGGAGTTGTCAACAAGCACGAAAGGACAGTGTTGGTGAAAGACGATCTTTATCAAGCATTACTTCTCCTCAACAACGACAAGAATGATTCACCTGTCTGATTTGACAACATCCTAGGACAATAAGGACTTCATCTTATGGGACACACTTTTCAAGAAGCATTAAATGAAGATGTACCATCTCTTGGAGCTAAAGGACAAAACCCCAATGCTTTCCATACCTTCAACGGCTACATGGTACAACCTCATTAATGGAGCATTTAATGCATGAAGCTCCCCGGTCCTTGTCCACTGGTTAAAAGGTTCGAAAATCTCATCTCCCTCCAACGGATGGATTTTCATCACCTATATAAACTCACCTTCATCAACTAAGAAGGTGCTGGTTCATTATCACTCAACTTACTCACTTACAAAAGCTCTTGAAAAGTCTACAATTTACTAAAAGCTTTTGTGAACCAATTTTGAGGTGTTGAGTTACTTGAAGAATCTTTTATCTTACACCTCAAGGAAGTCTTGACATTTGTTTGAAGCAATCATATCTCAGAGTCAAGACCTCATCGTTGGAAAATTCAAGAAATCATTTTCTACCAACCTCAACTCAGGAGAAGAAGTTGATAGAGGCGGAGTAAACTCGAGGAGTTGAAAAACCTACGAAGGCTGTCCGGCTTAGTGATCAAGGAAGTCTTTGTGTATTTGTACTAAGAGTGATAGTGCAATCCTTCCAACAGTTGTGGAAGAAGAGTGAAGTAGGCAACATTGGCTGAACCACTATAAAATCTCGTGTCCTCTCTATCTCTTTACTTACGCTTTTCTTTTTGCTCTCATATCATTCCTTTATTATCGATACCAAAGGTTTGTCTAAATTACGCAAACTCGTGCAAAGTATCTAAAACAAATCTATCTTATCCGTTGCGCCAAGACACCGAAAGGTGACGTTTAGGGCTTCTAACGAAAAGAGTCTATTCACCCCCCCCCCCCCTCTAGACTCTCATCTCATTCTATCGGGACCAACATTTTGTACTTAAGGTGCGTGAGTTTGCATTCTTAAGGTGTTTTGTTTGTGTACTTATGTGTGTGTGTTTTGTACTTAAAGTGCCTCAGTTTAATGCTTAATATGCATACAGCCGCACAACCGGACGGGAAGCTCTCCCGGCACCTGATCCCTTCCCTATGTGTGTGTGTGTGTGTGTGTGTGTGTGTGTGTGTGTATGTGTGTGTGTGTTTAGGATCAGCTGCACATGCCACTTCCCGTGCGAAAATGCGGTATGTGCACTTGAAAGTTCAAAATCATGCACTTGAAGGTAAAAATATGTGCACTTGAAGGCAAAAACATTGCATTCGAAGGCAAATAGATGTGCAATTGATGGAATTTATGGTACCAAAAAGGGAGGTTATTCAACTTAAGTGTTTTTAAACCAATTACCCATACAAATCGTTTGTAAATCTCATAAATTTTATTAGAAATTTAGTTATATATTATTGAAAAGAATGCACAAGATATAACAAATACTGCCCAAAATTGTGCACTTGAAAGCAAAGAATCATGCACTTGGAGACATAAAAATGTGCACTTGAAGGTAAAAAAATCTACAGTGAAAGGAAAAAATGGTTCGCTTGAATGCTAAATTTTTTTTTTTTTTAATTTTTACACAATAGTAAAACACACATACACTTTTAGGCATTAAATTGAGCATTTGAAAGCATAAAGAGGATCACAAGAAATCAAGGGAGAAAAAAAGGACACTAAAAGGAAAAATTCGAAGAAAATTAATTATGCACTCTTAGAAAGGAAAACATGCACTTGAAGGCTACAAAATGTGCATTTGAAGGCCAAATATTTTCACTCAAAGGCACAAAGATGTGCACTCAAAGAAGAAACTAAGTACTAAAATAAAAATGATGCACTCGAAGAAAGGAAAAATGTGCACTCGGATACAAAAGACAAGCTGACTTATTTACTCAAAATTGCAAATATGCTACCGCACATTTTTAATTAAAATTCAATTTGGACTGTTGATTTGGATTGCATCTACGGCTGAAAATTGTCTGCATTTTTTACCTGTTGAGACTATTTTATGTGATCATATATATATATAGAGTTAATACCCAAAATAGTCCCTCGACTATGTCGTAATTACCAATTTGGTCCTCGACTATCATTCTTACCCAATTAAGTCCTCAACTATACAATTTTTACCCAATTTAGTCCTTTGTCAATTTGACTGTTTGTTGACTGTCAAAAGTGAAAATAAAGTTGTAATTTTACAAGTTTTCTCCTTCCTCCTCATTTAGCAACGCCAAACCATGTAGCAATAAGCTCCGGTTGGGTTCTAAACCTGTCAGTATCGAAGTAGTGGTTATGCATCGGATAGCCCATGGATTTGATTTCCAACGATTTTTTGACGATCGAAATCTGATTGGAGTGTATTGCTGCATGGTTTGGCGCTGCTAAATGAAGAGGAAGGAGAAATCTTGTAAAATTATAATTTTATCCCGACTTTTGACAGTCAACAAACAGTCAAATTAATACAGAGGACTAAATTAGGTAAAAATTGTATAGTTGATGACTAAATTGGGTAAAAATTGTATAGTTGAGGACTTAATTGAGTAAAAGTTACATAGTTGAGGACTTAATTGGGTAAGAATGGTAGTTGAGGACCAAATTGGTAATTATGGCATAGTCGAGGGACCATTTTGGGTATTAACTCATATATATATATATATATATATATATATATATATATATATATATATATATATATATATATATATATATATATATAGGGTTGACTTCAAGTAAGAACCACTATTTAGGTAGGAACCTAAGAACTAATTCAATCTATTAAACTTTTAATGATCAATGGTCAAGATATTCTATCAATTTAATGTGCATCTAAATTTTAATTAATTCTAAAGGTTATTAGTGTAATTTTGACCAACAACTAATTAAAAGAAAATATTATAATTAGATTCTTTCCATGATTTTAGAAACACAAAATAACGAAGGATTCTTTTGGAGTTGTAACTATACTATGTTGCATCCCCTCAAAAAAAAGAACGTCACCCGACAACAATTATTTTACCGGTAGATTTGAGTTGAATATGATAATAACATTCGTTACAGTATTTTGATTTCTTTAATTATAATGCTTATGACCAATTTTAAAATATCAAATAATAAAATTATCAATTATTATAAAAAAAAGTGATATTTTTATAAATAAAATAATAATTTCAATTTAATTATATTTATAAAAAAAATCTTGGGGGACTAACATTACTGGCATATAATTGGTAGAAGTTGGCATTCCATTATATGAGCAGCTTGAGCTTCCAGTGGTGGGATTATTGCTTTTCTCATGCAAGACAAGGAGTTTGTGATAGATCAAATGATGGGTACCCAAAGGTATTATCATTGGATGATGTAAAATCATAAAAAAAAAAAAAAAGATGATGATGCTCAGCACAGAAGAAATCTAAATCTTGATAACAGTAATCATAATCTGGGATTATGTTTGAGGAAAAAGGAGGAATGTAATTAAGATTAGGGTTTGAGTGAATTCCATTTTTGGTCCTACTGTTATAGGGACGTTTCCAGTTTTAGTTCACCTTAATTTATTTTGCCACTTTATAACCACTATTATTGAATGTGTTCCACTTTTAGTCCCACCGTTAGTATTTCTATCAAGAGGCCGTGTAATCTAGGGGTATTTTGACCCTTCTTCTCATCCACGGCTATGTTTGACTAAAGAAATGAGAACATTAAACCTAAAACCTAAGAAACCTCGCTGGGCCATGTTGGAACGAACGAAACGATGTAGCTTTGGCTTCCCATTCTCGTTGTTCGAAGAGCCATCTTCGAATATCGGAGGAGGAGAACGAAGCGCCTGGATTAAAAGAGAAGAGACAAACATAAAAGACCAAAATACCCTTTGATTATACGACCTCTTGACGAAAATATTAACGGTGGAGTAAACGTAGAACACATTCAATAACAATGGTTGTAAAATGGCAAAAAAATTAAAGTGGACTAAAATTGAAAACGCCCCTATAACAGTAGGACCAAAAATGGAATTCACTCATTAGGGTTTGGTTCAAGAAAAGTAGGGGCAGACATGGTCTGAGAAGATGAGAGAGAGTAAGCTAATTAATTATTAGGAAAGCTTATGAGAACACATAGACGCATTTCCAGACGCCATTGTTAACCCCCGCGCTGTTCTGGAACATCGAACCCGTACAATGTTAGCACTCTGGACCCACTATTTTCCCCAAAACTTTTATATTTCCGATTGCTAAGCAGGTATTCTTTCTCCTCTGTTTCTTCACTCCCTCTGGTTATCCGGTAAACACGCACTGCTCGGAACATCTCTGCGGGCAAAAGAACACAAATTCAACGAATTCCGCCGTTGCGGTAAATGTGCACACAAAGCAAACCAAACAAGAAATCGATCGAGAAGAAATCGATGGAGGAGAAGAATACCATTGTATGCGAGAAGTCTCTAGTGGAAAAGAAACCCCAGCGAGGGAGAGTAGCGGACAACCTCGTCGCCGGACGGGGACGTTTGAGGTTCTTATCATCGCCGCCAACCATTTGAGACGGAGAGCTGAAGAAGAGACAAGGGAAATCAGAAGCGATTCGCAATCTGGGTGTGAGGAATCTTGGCGTCAACGAAAGAGTCCAAAATACAACTCACCAGTTCAGAATCCGAAGACCCAGCGAGAAATGCTCACCTTCCACCAACGTACACCATCTAAAGTACCTAAAATAACCCTGCTAGTCCAAAATAAACTTCAATCAGCGAAAAAAAACTATTAAAAAATGATTAAACATGAACCGTAAGATTAAAATAAAGGGCTTAGACATGATTGTTAATATATATATATATATATATATATATATATATATATATATATATATATATATATATATATATAAGAGATCAAATGTAGATGTTGTACCCATGTGAAACATGCAGTGAGATGAGAGCCATTGATCTGACCAAATTCAACGTTCAAGATTAACAAAGATTAAGAAAAATACAGTGGCAATTTGGTCATTTTTCGTATTGGTCAAATTAAACTTAAGGTGCATAATTTTTGTACTTAAAGTGCATCATGTTCCTTCTTAAGGTGCATGGTTTCTGTGTTTAAGATGCGTCAGTTATTCAGTGAGATGTTATGGTTTGTTTTTTGTTCTAACTTAAGGTGTGTCATTCTAAACCTTTAGGTACGTCTTTTAATAGCTTAAGGTGTGTCATTTTAACATTTAAAGTGTATCAGTTATAAACTCAAAATGCATAAGTTCTACACTTAAGGTAGTGTGCCATTTTTATACTTATGGTACGTGATTTTACTACTTAAGGTGCGTATTTGTACCACTTAATTAAGGTGTGCCATTTTTATAAATTGAAGGTGTGTGATGTTAAGTTTTTATAAACTGGTAAATTCTATAAAATCAAAGAAAAAGCTAAATTTTAAATCTAAACTCTAAATGTTAGACCTTAAGCAGTAAAAAGTTAACCAATGGAACAAATAAACACAAAAACTCGATCATATAAACTCAAAACTCGAAACCCTAATTGCAATGTACTTTTGCATTTTTGCAAGTTCAAACATTTAATACTAAATTAAATATGCAAAATATTAACACTAAATGTGAAAAACATTAATTAATACTAAATATGCAAACTTGAAAAAGTCTAAAAATTGCAAATTTTAGTGTTCATGTTTGCATAGTAAAGTTGGTGATAATTACGAAACTGCCACCATTTTTTTTTTTTTAAATCTGATCTGGTGCGATGAAATTTTTCTACATGCAATCCACAATAATGTGCACTGGAAGACACAACAATGTGCTCTGGAAGGCATAACAATGTGCACTAGAACGCAAAAATGTGCACTGTAAAGCACAAAAATATGCAACAATTATTGAAAAATTTAAATTTAATACATGATCTTCAAAACAAATCATAAAAGATCACAACATTCAACCTAAAATTAGTAATTAATGATTCATTCAAGATGAAATGCTCGTTGATATATATATATATATATATATATATATATATATATATATATATATATATATATATATATATATATATATATAGGATCATATGAGAACACTTGCTTAAGTGAAAACGTAAGAACACATCGTGTGTATCCATCTAATTAATTTTAATGGTCTAGATTAAATGTATGCGAACGCGGATTAAATGTGTGCAAATGATATTAAGTGTGTGCAAATTCGATTGATCTAGACCATTAAATAATATTAGATGGATGCACACGATTCGTTCTCACGTTCTCACCTAAACAAGTGTTCTCATTGGAACCCTACTATATATATATATATATATATATATATATATATAGTTGAGTTCCAATGATGACAACTATATTATAGAGGACTATGAGGACAGATGTAGTCGTGTGCCATTAGTTTGTATGTCTTGTGCATGGCCGAATGTAGTCGTGTGTCATAGTTTATATGTCGTGTGCATAAGTATATTAATTAATAGAGCATGTGTTCGAAATCTGATTTTTACATGTATATCAACTCATGTAATAGGCAACAACTTAGACAGTACTTCTTGTAACTAACCTAACAGATTTAGTAACCACCTTTCTGTTAGTAGCCGTTTGTATATATAGCTTCTTTGTTACCTTGATGGAAGTTGAATGAAATATCTTTCTGTTTTCTCATCCTTCTCTTCAGCTTCTTCTTCATTTCGTGAAATGGTATCAGAGCCATAATCATGGCTTGGCGAATACCCAGTGTTAACATGGTGCAGCAAGCAACGACCTCGAACCAGGGAGTTCCTCCAATAAACAGCAGCCCAGTTCCAACTCCAGCAGCAGTTCCTGTTGCAAATCCGGTGGCCTTTGATCCTAGAGATCGCACCGATCCCCTGTTCCTCCATCCAAATGAGAGTATGTCACTGCAGCTGGTCACAACTCAACTCGAAGAATGATCAAACTACCATCCATGTGCAAGAGCCATGGAAATAACCCTAAGATCTAAAAACAAGATGGTGATCGTGGATGGATCGCAGCCAGTTCTCACTCAGAATGATCCTAGGTTTTTCTACTGGGATCAGTGCAATACCATGGTTCTCTCATGGATCCTTAGAGTTCTTTCCCCTACGATTGGCAGAAGCGTTTTGTGGATCAACACAGCAGAAGAGGTTTGGAAGGATCTGAAGAAGAGGTTTAGTCAACAGGATGTGTTTCGTATTGCTGAGATTCAAGCTGAAATATATCAAACAAAGCAAGGTACATTGTCTGTGAACGAATTTCAGTCAATTGAAGTTATTGTGGGATGAGTTACTCGTTTTGAGGCCAGTACCTGCCTGTGAGTGCTCACCAACTTGTGGACGTGGAAGAAATCTATCTGAGAAGGTCATATCTCACCTAGAGAATGACATGCT